CCCCCTTACCGGGGTGTAAGCTATTTCAAGCCTTTCCTTTTAACAATGGCCAGTACCCTGGCCATACTATTACCCTGCAAGCAATTCAGCCGAAGCATTCATTTAAGCATTTATCTCGATTTTTAATATCAGGCAATGGCCTCTTCGCCACCTCCCCAGCCACAAGCATTCCATTTTCTTTAAACACATAAAAACCTCTATTAGTTGTGAAATATTCCTGCTTGACAACACTTCCCCTTTTAGGCATGGCCCTTGGTGTTGGTCAGCCAGCTGCTTCCTGTCTAACTCTGATCAGTCTAAGCGAGCCGACCGCAGCAGAGCCTTTGTTCCTCATTTTTCTAGTTCCCTTTTTCCTCTTAGTTTTGTTCAATTGATCAATACATTTTTAAAGCAAGATCTTTCAAGATCAGAAACCCCTTTATCCCATTTCTTACACATCAGTGCCCTGGATTCGAACAGCCCCCTGGGAACCCACACTTCTGTTCCATCTTAACTGCCGAGATACTTGATCAGATTTTGCACAGTGTTTCATGACTTTTATGACGTCTCTACTGTTTTAATCTGTTTTTAATTGATTTTAATTGTTACTGTAAATTGTATTGATATTGATGGAACCCGCCCTGAGCCCGGTTGCAGGGAGGGCAGGAGACAAGTCCAAAATTTATCTTATTTATTTTATAATGCCATAAAGTCCACCCCCCAAAGCAGCCATTTTCTCCATGAGAATTCACCTCCGTACCCTGGAGATCTGTGGTCATTCCTGTAGCTCTCCAGGTTGCACCTGGAGATTGGCAACCCTAGATACTGCTACCAGGGGCCGGTGCTCTTCTAGACCAGGGAGGGCTTGGAAGGGATGCGGGTTGCATAAAAGCGGCGGGGCGCCAGAGTCATATCATCACACTATCAGCTCTGAGTTTCCTTCGAATGGTTCCAAGCCTGGTGGGAGATTCCGAGAGTGTGGTTGCGGAAGAGAGGGAGAAGCTGTGGGGAAACCTCACTGGTTGAACATTCTTGCAGCCCCAGCCCAGCCCTTTGAGCTTTCCCCGAGGTTTGCATCCCTCTACATGGAACGGGGCCTTTCTTCTGAGCAGACACGCCTTGGCAGCCGGTCCTGGGAACGCCGAGCCTTTGTGTGACATTTCTACAGTCAAGCAAAAAGGGCACGATTGAGTCCTTTGAAACGCCAGTGATTTCAGAGGGAAAGCTGAGCCTGCGCTTGTCTCTTCCCCAATGAATCGCGTGGCCCAATCCTATGTGTGTTTACTCAGAAGGAAAACAGGGGTTCCAGGCAGCCGTGTTTGTTCAGGAAAAAATCCCCCTCCCAAACCCCCCATATAATCAGGGCTATAATTATGCTAATGAGTTCCTGCTGGGCTTTTTCTACAAAAAGAGCCCTGCATAATACCTTTCGTTAGGACCACTCAAAATGACAAGAAAACAACATGGGAGCTCTCAGAGTCTCCAGAACTTTTCATCAGGGTGGGTATCTAAAAGGGGTGCCTGCATTTTGGGCCAGAACTTGGGGCCTGATGATTAAGGAGGCACTGGACAAAGTTCATGTCTCTTTGATCTTCGGGGACCACGGCCTGAAATGTCTTTGGGTGTTGTTGTTTTTAACACGTACATGCAGGGCTCTTTTTGTAGAAAAAGCCCAGCAGGAACTCATTAGCATAATTGGCCACACCCAACAGCAGAAATGTTATTAGGCCACACCCCTGACAGCACAGCTCATTGGCATATGAGGCCGCACCCCTGTGTTACCAGACGTGTGCTCATCCAGCCATACCCACCTTTTGCTTCTTATTCTGTTTACCTTGTTTGTTATCAAAAACCAGGGCTTTCTTTGTAGCAGGAACTCCTTTGCATGTTAGGCCACACACCCCTAATGTAGCCAATCCGAATGAGTTTCTGCTGTTGGGTGTGGCCTATTATGCTAATGAGTTCCTGCTGGGCGTGGCCAACTCAGGAGCCAGCCGGAACTCCGTTCCTCTGCGTTCCTGCTCAAAAATAGCCCTGCGATATCTGGCTTCTGGTTCTGGATCTTGCTTAGAAATAAGTTGTATTGATTCAATAGATCCTGCATAACCAGTGCTCCTTGGATGCAAGCAACTTGAGAGGGAAGAAACGTGATATCTGAGTAACAATCCATAGCGGGGAGGGGCTGTGACTCTGGTAGAGCCTCTGCATGCAGGAGGTCCCAGGTTCAATCCCTGACATCTCCATTTAAAAAATACCAGGCAGTAGGTGATGTGAAGAATCTTCTGCCCGAGACCCTGGAGAGCTGCTGCCAGCCTGAGTAGGCAACACTGACCTGGATGGATTAATGGTCTGATTCAGTATAAGGCAGCCTCATCCTAGTGAGCTGCTGCCAGTCTGAGTAGGCAATACTGACCTGGATGGACCAGTGGTCTGACTCGCTATAAGGCAGCTTCATCCTAGAGAGCTGCTGCCAGCCTGAGTAGGCAATACTGACCTGGATGGACCAGTGATGTGATTCAGTATAAGGCAGCTTCATATGCCCATGTACGTTATTTCTCTTGCTTCTCTCTCTACTTCCCACTAGGTCCCAATCATGTGTCTATGCAACAGTCAGGACAGAGCACCATGCCCACGACTTCCTTGAGCATGGCCGTCAGTAGCCACGGCAGCGGGCCCGGCTATAGCCACGCAGTGCCTGCGTCTCAGAATGTACCGATGCAAAGCCAGGGATCCATAGGCAACTACGTCTCACGAACAAATATCAACATGCAGTCGAATCCCGGTAGGATGGTTGTTCTAGCAATATGTCACTGGAAAGGGTTTCGGGGGCGGGGGGGCCTTGCCTGGGCTATCCAGGTCAGGGCAGAAGATAATTATTTTCAAGCTTCATGGGGGAGGCATCATGAAGTCCAACAGATCTTCATTTGGAGTGGGGGGGGTATAAAAAAATCCCTAAGAACAAAAGGGGAAAAGACTCCAGATACACACAGTTGTTTAGCCTATAGGCTTTACTTTGCTCACACCCTTCTTAGTACACAGACTGTATCAGACCATGTTGGAACAACCAGGAAACTAATGCTTAAAAAGATCAGTCACCCTTCACCTGGATATTCTAAGCAGAGGTCTACTGCTTTGAACAGGGGTCTCCAACCTCTTTGAGTCTGGGGCACCTTTGGAATTCTGACACAGCGTGGTGGGTGCAGCCGCAAAATGGCTGCTGTGGGAGGCAGAGCCAGCCATAAAATAGCTGCCAGGAGGCAAGTTGTTTTGGGCTTTTTTTTTTTTAATTGTGTTGGGAAAGGGCTTCAGCTGAGCCCCTTGTGCACAGGAGAGCTTCTCCTTATGCACGGGGGAGTTTTGCACAGGAGAGCTTCTCCTTATGCACGGGGGAGTTTTGCACAGGAGAGCTTTTCCTTATGCACGGGGGAATTTTGCACAGGAGAGCTTTTCCTTATGCACAGGGGGAGTTTTCCACAGGAGAGTTTCTCCTTATGCACAGGGGGAGTTTTCCACAGGAGAGTTTCTCCTTATGCACAGGGGGAGTTTTCCACAGGAGAGCTTCTCCTTATGCACAGGGGGAGTTTTCCACAGGAGAGTTTCTCCTTATGCACAGGGGGAGTTTTGCACAGGAGTGCTTTTCCTTATGCACGTGGGAATTTTGCACAGGAGAGCCTCTCCTTATGCACAGGGAGTATTGCACAGGAGAGTGTCTCCTTATGCACAGGGGAATTTTGCACAGGAGAGCTTCTCCTTATGCACGGGGGAGTTTTGCACAGGAGAGCTTCTCCTTATGCACGGGGGAGTTTTGCACAGGAGAGTTTTTCCTTATGCACGGGGGAGTTTTGCTTCCTGCACAAGTGAACACTCTGAGCGGAGTAGCACTGGTGTTTGGTTATAATTTTGCATTCAAACGATCCTTCTGAAACCTGATTGGAAGTTTCAGGCTTTCTGGGGTTGGAAGTTTCAGGCTTTCTGGGGTTGGGTGGTGGCAGTGTCTTAGGGGCTATGTAGGGAGGGGGCATTGCTCATTGATAGGGAATCTGCTTGGCATACAGAACATCCTGGGTTCAATCCCCAGCATTTCCAGTTAGGTCCTGGTAACAGGTGATGGGCAAGACCTCCTCCTGAGACCCTGGAGAGCTGCTGCCAGTCTGAGTAGACAATAATGACCTTGATTGACCTATGATCTGTTTTAGTATGGGGGGCATCTTCTTTCTTGTGTTCAGATTCATGTACTTGGGAATATACCCCAGTTTTTATGTGTGTGCACGTTCTGCAGTTTCCATGATGCACCAGCAAGCAGCCACGTCGCATTACAACTCAGCACAAGGAGGGAGCCAGCACTACCAAGGCCAGTCCTCCATCGCCATGATGAGTCAGAGTAACCAAGGCAACAGCATGATGGGCCAGCGACCGATGGGCCCCTACCGACCCTCGCAGCAAGGTATACAGGTTTAAACTGCAGACTCGGGCTTTGCTTTCGCAGATGGGCGTGTCCCCGAGAAAACAGCAAGATTTCCCTGGGTTCAGAAGTGCGATGTTGGTCAGTAGGCTTCATTACCAGGGTTCTTAGTTATGCTTTTGTCAGAAGTGCCGGGAGGCAAGTGGTTTCGAAGTTTTTAAATGAGTGTTAGGGAAGGGTTTCAGCCGAGCCCCTCTTGAGCTCAGCAGTGGGAGACGTCCCATTTCTGCCTCCCCTTCTGTTTCCCCAAAGGCGGCCAAGATCCTGACTCCCTTTGCTACAGGTTCCAAAAGGAGGGGAGGCCGTGGGGCTTACTAAGCTACTTTACACAGAGAGTGATTAAACTGTGGAACTCGCTGCCGGGGGATGTAGTGATGGCCTCAAAAATAAACAGCTTTAAAAGGGGATTAGATAGATGGAGAATACGTCTATCAGTGGCTATTAGCCATGGCGACTGAAGGGAACCTCCACATTCAGAGGCACTAAGCCTCTGAATCCCAGAGCCAGGAGGCAACATCAGGGGAACGCCTTGGCCTCTATGCCCTGTTGTTGGCCCTCCGGAGGAACTGGTTGGCCACCGTGTGAGACAGGATGCTGGACTAGATGGACCCCTGCTCTGATCCAGCAGGGCTTATGTTCTTATAAAGGCCTCGGCCTCTATGCCCTGTTGTTGACCCTCCAGAGGAACCAGGTGGCCACTGTGTGAGACAGGATGCTGGACTAGATGGACCACTGGTCTGATCCAGCAGGGCTCTTCTGATGTTCTTATGAAGGCCTCAGCCTCTATGCCCTGTTGTTGACCCTCCAGAGGAACCGGGTGGCCACTGTGTGAGAGGATGCTGGACTAGATGGACCCCTGCTCTGATCCAGCAGGGCTCTTCTTATGTCCTTAGGCAACGACAAAAATCTCCTTTCTTGGAACATTTATGGTGGCTAGCAAGACCACCTTTTTGTGAATAGTGTTTTTAAAAACTATATATAGTACTTCTTGGAAGCTAAGCAGTGTCCGCCATGGTTAGTACTTGGATGGGCGACCACCAAGGAAGATTGGGGCTGCTATGCAAAGGCAAACAGTGGCAAACCCCCTCTGCTCATCATTCGCCTTGAAAACCCCCATGGTCCTGGTGTCTCCATGAGTCAGTTGCAACTTGATGGTGTTTAATACTTATTATCACATAGTATATCATTGTCTGTCACTGATACCAGTTGTTGGTCTGTAACGTGCTTCCTACCACTTCCGTCTGTCTATTTGTCTAATCCCACCATTTATCTAAGGGGCTTGGATCAGCATACATGGTCCTCCCTTCTTCCATTTTAACCTTCACAACAACCCTGTGAGGCAAGTTAGGCTGCGTGAGAAAGAGAGACTGGCCCGAGGATGAACTTCCTGGCTCGCTCCCGTGAGGATGATGAAAGGTGCACAGTGGGGCCACTCACAAACAAGATAGGAATGCTCATCTATGGTGGGGCCCACCCAGATATCTCCCCCCCCAAAAAAAGCCTTTGAATATTAACCAAAAGAAAATGAGGAGGGGGCCTCACAACTGACCTGTTGAACACTGAACATGCTCCAGGTGGGACAGAACGGTGAAAACAACTGTGAGTCAATTACATGATAAAAACGGGGAAAGGGCGAGAAGAGAGTTTTCTTGAGCTCTTGAGAGCTTATAGAGTCTCGCAGTGGGAGATTGGAGCGTACATTTCCAGGTGGTCCACCCCTCCCAAGATTTCTCACAGGGACCCATGTTGTGTACAATAACTGGGTTTGTGACGATGAACATAAGAACATAAGAGAAGCCAATGTTGGATCAAGCCTATGGCCCATCCAGTCCAACACTCTGTCACACGGTGGCCAAAAATACCAGGTGCCATCAGGAGGTCCACCAGTGGGGCCAGGACACTAGAAGCCCCCCCACTGTTGTCCCCCCCCCCCAAGCACCAAGAATACAGAGCATCACTTGCCCCAGACCGAGAGTTCCTGTCTATACCTTGTGGCTAATAGCCACTGATGGACCATATGTTTATCCCATTCCCTCTTGAAGCCATCTTTGCTTGTAGCCGCCACCCCCTCCTGTGGCAGTGAATTCCATGTGTTCATCACTCTTTGGGTGAAGAAGTACTTCCTTTTATCCTAACCCGACTGCTCAGCAATTTCATTGAGTGCCCACGAGTTCTTGTATTGTGAGAAAGGGAGAAAAGGACCTCTTTGGTGGAGCAGATGACCCATAAACCGTGTGAAGAGGTCCATCCCATGCTACCACCTCAAGACTCCGCCACCTCATTCTCCTGCGTGGGTCGAACGGGCCTCGCGTACCTTTTCCTGCGATATGCCTGTGCTTCATTCCCTGCCTCAGAATAAACAGAGGATGCTGTTTTCTCCAGAGTGTTTTCTTTTAAATAGATGTGCAGATTTGTGAAGATGTTAGTCAATGAGCACTCGTACGAGTAATCAACACGTGCTTCTTTAATGGAGATACCGCTCTTCTGGTCCTCAGGTTCCTCTCAGCAATACATGGGTCAGGAGGAATACTACAGCGAACAGTACAGTCACGGGCAGAGTTCATCAGAGCCCATGAATCAGCAATACTACCCCGACGGTAATTTTGCTGAGCGTTGGTCACCTTTTCCCTCGTGCTGTTGTAGAGCTGACAGCCTCCAGGTGGGGCCTGGAGATCTCCTGGAATTACAACTGGTCTCCTGGAGAAAATGGCAGCCTTGGAGGGGTGGGGGTCTATGGCATTGTACCCTGCCGAGGTCCCTCCCCTCCCTAAGCCCCACCCTCTCCAGGCTCCACCCCCAAAATCCCCAGGTATTTCCCAACTGAGAGCTGGCAAACCTGTGCGGTTGAAGTGCCAGAAGGTTCTCTCATCTAGGATGGAATGAAAAGGCAGTTTTCGTTTTAAGTCTTTACCCCAAAGTGAGGATTTCCCTAGGGGTTTATTCTCAAGCAAAATGTCAGAATCTCACCAGTTCATAGAATCGTAGAGTTGGAAGGGACCTCCAGGGTTATCTAGTCCAACCCTCTGCACGATGCAGGACATTCACAAATACCTCCCCCTCCACACCCCCAGTGACCGCTGTTCCATGCCCAGAAGATGGCAAAAAACCTCCAGGATCTCCAGCCAAACTGGGCTGGAGAAAAATGGTTTCCTGACCCCAAAGTGGTGATCAGCATTTCCCTGGGTGTGTAAGAAAGGGCCACAAGAACTAAGCACTGAGGCACCCCCCCCTTCCTGCCCTCCCTCTCATGATCTGCCTAAGTTCACAGAATCAGCATTGCTGTCAGATGGCCCTCTAGCCTCTGCTTGAAAACCTCCAAAGAAGGAGAGCCCACCCCCTCCCGAGGAAGCCTGTTCCACTGAGGAACTGCTCTGTCAGGAAGGTCTTCCTAATGTTTAGCCGAAAACTCTTCTGATTTAATTTCAACCCGTTGGTTCTGGTCCGGCCTTCTCGGGTAACAGAAAACCACTCCGTACCATCCTCTCTATGACAGCCCTTCAGATACTTGGTTATCATATCACCTCTCAGTCGTCTCCTCTCCAGGCTAAACATACCCAGCCCCGTCAGCCTTTCCTCACAGGACTTGGCCTCCAGACCCCTCGCCAGTTCCCTCGCTTCTTTGAGGGAACCCCTGATGGCCCACCTGATATTGAGCCGATATATGTTTGCAGTATCGACATTCCCTTTTGGTTTTAAGTTAATTGTTCTGTTGTTGTTGTTTTCCAACCCTCTTGTAACCATTCCTTCTCCCTTTTGGACCTCTCTTCTTTATCTGCGTAGGTCACAGCGATTACACGTATCAACAGTCCTCTTATTCGGAGCAAAGCTACGACAGGTCGTTTGAGGATTCTACACAGCACTACTACGAGGGAGGTAAGGAGGCATCAAGGGAGCATTTCTTGCAGATGATGTCAGACTTGAGGCACACACACACACCATTAGGGGTGCCGTGCCGCCTTCTCATAGTACATAGCACTGTGCATGTTGAAATCCACAGGTGCAGAGGGGGAACGGGCATGTATGCATTGGCCCCGCCTTACCCCCATGCCGATTGCCAGCCTCTGAGGGTCAAACTAGATGTTTAATTTTTTAAAGGGTTGGTTCTGGGTTCCCTGGACCCAGTCCTCCCAGCCACACAGCAGCTGCAGGGGGACGTCTTTTGAACAAATAAAGGCGAGCCCGAACAAATTCAGGTCCATCAGTGGCTATTAGACACAAGGGCAGGGCTGGCTCGAGGTGTTTCTGTGCCCTAGGCGAGGCTGCCTTGTGGTGCAGATGCCAACCTCCTGGTGGGGCCTGAAGACCTCTGGATTCAGCCACCCTTTTGCTGCCGCCACCACTGCCTCCCGCCCCCGCTGCCACCAAAGGGGGGGAGGGGGGAGGCACAGGTTGGTGCCCCATCCAGGGCCCGGCGCTCTAGGTGAATGCCTAATTCGCCTAGTGGGTGAGCCGGCCCTGCACAAGGGATAGATGGAACACTCTGTCTGGGGCAGTGATGCTCTGTATTCTTGGTCCTGAGGGGGGCAACAGTGGGAGTGCTTCTGGAGCTCTGGCCCCACTGGTGAACCTCCTGATGGAACCAGGTTTTTGGCCAGTGTGTGACACGGAGCGTTGGACTGGTTGGGCAACTGGCCTGATCCAGCATGGGTTCTCTTATGTTCTTACTTCTTCATCCAAAGAGTCATTAATAGGTGGAATTCACCACCGCAGGAAGCGGTGGTAGCTATGAGCATAGACAGCTTTAAGAGGGAATTGGACAAATAGATGGAGCAGAGGTCCATCAATGGCTGTTAGCCACAAGGTATAGATGGAACACTATGTCTGGGGCAGTGATGCTCTGTATTCTTGGTGCTTGGGGGGGCCACAGTGGGAGGGCTTCTGGAGTTCTGGCCCCACTGGTGGACCTCCTGATGGTACCTGGGTTTTGGCCACTGTGTGACACAGAGTGTTGGACTGGATGGGCCTGATCCAACATGGCTTCTCTTGTGTTCTTATGTCTGGGGCAGTGATGTTCTGTATTCTTGGTGTTTGGGGGGCCACAGTGGGAGGGCTTCTGGAGTTCTGGCCCCGCTGGTGGACCTCCTGATGGCACCTGGGTTTTGACCACTGTGTGACACAGAGTGATGGACTATATGGGTGACTGGCCTGATCCAGCGTGGCTTCTCTTATGTTCTAGGTTCACAGTGTTGCCGGGGGGGGGGCCTGATCCAGCGTGGCTTCTCTTATGTTCTAGGTTCACAGTGTTGCCGGGGGGGGGGGGTTAGAGACTGGGTTCTTCCCTTCCCCCAAGCTGTTATCCTGCATAGAAACAGCCCTGGGAGGAGTTATTTCCTTGTTCTTGCTGCTCCCTGTGCACAGAATACTCCACATGCAGCAGCAAAAACAGGAAAATCACCACCCTTTCAGTGCTGTTTCCATTCGGGAGCTCTTCCTCCCCCAGTGGCAGTGTTCTGAGCCTGTTTGGGCACTCATTTATTTTTTATTTTTGGTAAATTATTATTTTAATACACACACTCAGTCCATATACTCATACATACATAAAACAAACTTCCCAGTACTTTTACAAGAAATCGTAATAAGCAAATGGGTATACCCCCTAGACTGCAAGGAGATCATATCTGTCAATCCTAAAAGAGATCAACCCTGACTGTTCCCTAGAAGGCCAGATACTGAAGCTGAAGCTCAAATACTTTGGCTACCAAATGAGAAGGGAGGACTCACTGGAGAAGACCCTGATGCTGGGAAAGACTGAAGGTCAAAGAAGAAGGGGACGGCAAAGGATGAGATGGTTAGACAGTGTTGTCGAGGCAACGAACATGAAATTAAGCAAACTCCAGAGCACGACGGAAGACAGGAGGGCCTGGCGTGATGTGGTCCATTGGGTTGCAAAGAGTCGGACTCGACTGTGCGACTGAACAACAACAACATATCTTTTCATATATATTTTTCATTCCCAAGAGAAATGAATAATGTCCAACATTTAGTAAATAAACCAGATTCCATAGAGTTACTCCTTCTAGAACTTTGATAGAAAGCCAGTTTGGTGTAGTGGTTAAGTGCGCAGACTCTAATCTGGGAGAACCAGATTTGATTGCCCACTCCTCCACTTGCAGCTGCTGGACGACCTTGGGCAATTCATAGTTCTGTCAGAGCTGTTCTTTCACAAGAAGTTCTCAAGAGAGCTCTCTCAGCCCCACCTACCTCACAGGGTGTCTGTTGTGGGGAGAGGAAGGGAAGGAGTCATCGTCGTCTTCCTCATCTTCTTCTTCCTCATCATCTTCCTTATCTTCTTCTTCTTCTTCAACAGTGCTATAAGCCAAGTCTTGTTAAACACTCACTGATATTTGGTGATTCTGGCTCTTTCCAGTGTATTGCAATACCCGTTCTTGCTGCTGTAAATAAACTTAGTACCGATTGCAAATCCGAATCATCTATATAACCTCTCCAAAAACTCAGAAGAATAAATTTTGGGCTCTCGCTTATTTTTTGAACAGCCATTCCCCACAGCTGCTGTGTGGCTGCGAGAACTCAGCTTGTCCAGGGGACCCAGACCCAACACTTTAACAAAAGTGTAGCTTTTTTGTAGCTCTGAGCATGTCCTGTAAGTGTGGAGGAAGCAAACAGGTGCAGGCTCCTTCCCTGTTACCAGGAATATTTGAAAAGGGGCATTCCCGATCACAGGGAAGGGAGTCAAAATGCATGCATGTTTTCCGCCTGTAGACCCTCTGCTCACGAGCCGGTGGTTTCTCCTCTGTACGTGTTGATTTCCAAACCCACAGTATCATCTGTAGAAGGCCAGTAAAACACGATCATGGGAGAAACCACTTCAAAAGAGATAAGTTATCAGAAATGTTTTTATGTGCACCTGTTGCCAGTAGAAACAGATGAGAGAAAAAGATCATCTATACACATAAGGCATGGAATGAATAAGAAATGAGTGAGATCAGACAGTGCTCATCTGACCATCTGTACTGGTCCGTAGCTACAGTGTGGCATTTGGGGGCCCTGCCCCCTCAATTAAAAGCTCCGCCCCACAAATACCCAAGCCAGAAACCTTATTTTTTGGTGGTGAGTCCAGTCCTGCTGTATACCATCGAGGTCATGGTGAGTCTTTCAATAGCATTCCCTTGAGACTTTGGGAAACATGCTCGGAACCTCCCCCTTTTAAAGGCAAGAATTCAGATTAAGTTAATTAACTATCATTTAACTTTAACCCCTTAACGATTCAAATCCCCCCCCCCCGAACAAAAAAAAATCCTGGCTACAGGCCTGCATCTGTGTTGCATTTTTATCCTGCAGTTCCTCTGAAGAGCTGTGAACAGTCAATGTGATTCTCCTACCATCCCTTTTACGCTCACAACAACCCTGTGAGGTAGGCTAGGCTGAGAGCGAATCACTTGCCCAAGGTCGCCAATGAGGTTCATGGCTGAGAGGGAATTTGCAGCTGAGTTTCTCTCTAGCACTAAGGGGAGCCTCTAGTGCCAAGGAAAAGTGCCCCTACCGGCAGAACAGATCTGCTGGATCCAACCCAACCTCTGTTGTATAACTACAATAATGATTAAGCTCTTATATCTGTAGGAGGAAAGAGGAAACGAGGCGGCACATGTGAAGGATTAGTGAGATGCGTTAGAGATCTGCACTGTGTATTTTCGACAGCAAAATGTGTGTTAAAATGTTTTTTTCATTCTGCCCTTGAACATGAGAACATAAGAGACGCCAATGTTGGATGAGGCCAAAGGCCCATCCAGTCCAACACTCTGTATCACTCAGTGGCCAGAAATACCAGTGCCATCAGGAGGTCCAGCAGTGAGGCCAGGACATTAGAAGCCCTCCCACTGTTGACTCCCCCCCCAAGCACCAAGAAGACAGAGCATCACTTGCCGCAGAGCCCCTGTCTATACCTTGTGGCTAATAGCCACTGATGGACCTCTGCTCCATATGCTTATCTAATTCCCTTTTGAAGCCATCCATGCTTGTAGCCGCCACCACCTCCTGTGGCAGTGAATTCCATGTGTTAATCACTTTTGGGGCGAAGAAGTACTTCCTTTTATCCGTTCTAACCCGACTGTTCAGCAATTTCATGGAGTGCCCACGAGTTCTTGTATTGTGAGAAAGGGAGAAAAGTATCTCTTTCTCTACCTGCTCAAGGTGTGGTGCCCAGAACTGCACACAGTATTCCAAATGAGGTCTCACCATTGATTTATATAGGGGCATTATTATATTGGCTGATCTGTTTTCAATACCCTTCCTAATAATCCCCAGCATAGCATTGGCCTTCTTTATTGCAGTCACACACTGTCTCGACATTTTCAGTGAGTTATCCACTACAACTCCAAGATCTCTCTCTTGCTCAGTCTCTGCCAGTTCAGACCCCATCAATGTGTATTTATATTTAGGATTTTTGGCTCCAATGTGCATCACCTTGCACTTGGCCACATTGAACCCCATTTGCCATGTTGACGCCCACTCGCCCATCCTTGACAGATCCCCTTGGAGTGCCTCACAATCCTCACTGGTTTTCACCACCCTGAACAACTTTGTATCATCCGCAAATTTAGCCACTTCACTGCTTACTCCCATCTCCAAATCATTAATGAACAAGTTAAAAAGCAGTGGACCAAGTACTGATCCCTGCGGTACCCCACTGCTTACCACCCTCCACTGAGAAAATTGCCCACCTACACTCACTCTCTGTTTTCTATGAACTAGCCAGTTTTTGATCCATAAAAGGACTTGTCCTTCTATCCCATGATTTTTGAGCTTACTTAGGAGCCTTTGATGAGGAACTTTATCAAAAGCTTTCTGGAAGTCAAGGTAAATAATATCTATTGGATCCCCCTTGTCCACATGTTTGTTCACCCCCTCAAAGAACA